AGTCTGTGCGTATCGTGGCCTGGGGAATACGCCCGACTCTGATATGCAACAGCACTTGTTTTATAGCATATACTTCCGCAGAGAACGCCCTGCATAAATCTGGAGGACGTCCGGTGAATCGAAAGTCAGGACTGACGGCTGCTGCACCAACCTGGTCACCATGAGCAGGTCCATCGGTGCAAAAGAAAACGGATTGGGCGTGCGTATTTCGGTACTCCGGGAAGGCAGACTATGCCTCATCAGGAGACAATTCAGATTTCTTAAATAGACACTCTATCGATAGATCATTGTAAAACCAGAACGGCGTCAATGGAAGGTTATGAGCAGCACGTATACATGGGATGTCAAGAGCTCGTCACGTCCGTTTGATAGCGTCGAACAGGAAGCACGACCTGTGCTGCTGTCTTTGTGGGTGCGGTCTATTGGTTTCAGGAGCGGCGCATACCGCGTGGTTCATCCCACGCTCTGACATTTGTAGCAGCAACATGTAACGCAACATGTAACCGAAGAAGCAACATGTAACGCCCGCCTCCCAGCGCTGGCAGGCTGATGTCAGAACGAATGGCGAGAACTGGGGTCGCGAGGAAGGCCCCTGTGATCAGACGCAGGCAGGTTGACTTGAATGGCTTCCAAGCATTTGCAAAAGTTGACCGAGATAATACTGAATATGAAGCTGTTATACTCCAGCGTTGATCGGATGGGACCTAAATAAAGTGTGGTAAACGTCGTTCGGTCTGCATGCCAGGTATGACCAACAAGGCACCTGAGGACGTTAAGCCATTTTAAGCATCAATTTCTGACATCCTCTATGTGTGCTTGGAGGGTTTGACTTGAGTCCAATGTAATTCCGAGAAAGTTGTGCGACTTTTAGGATGGTATAGGAATACCGCAAATTTTTGGAGAGACGGCAAGTGACGGTAAAAGGCTTCGTTTGAAAATGAGCATGGTGGACTTGGGAGTGGAGAGAAAGAGGCCCGATTCTGAGCAGCCCATCCCGCAATGATCGATTGCTTTTTGTAAAGCTGTGAAAGACTCTCGACAGTTTCTGTGTGAGCTCCATATAGCAAGATCGTCAGCAAACAGCAAATATTGGATACATCCTAGGCTGTTGGGGAGTGTCAGAAAAACATCTTTTATGGCGATAAGAAACAGCATTGGAGAAAGAACACCACCTTGGGGAACACCATGATCCATACGGTGTAAGTCAGGTGCCGTGAATTGGCAGCGTACAAAAAAAGGAACAGCTCCGTAAGAAATAAGGAAGAAAATACGCTAAGTGGCCCCTAAGGCGATTACCATCCAACTTACACATCACGGTGTCGCGATGAACTTTGCTAAATGCTGATATAGGGTCAAAGAACACAGCGACGGTGGGAAGTTGTCGATCCCAGTTTGCCTGTGCATTCATAGTGAGATGTATGATGCTTTCTGCAGTACTATGGTTACTTCGGAAACCACTTTTGAAGCCGTCCAACATATGATTTGTTTCCAGGAACCATCGGAGGCGCGTACTGACCATTCGTTCCACCTTACATGCACAATTTGCGAGCGATATTGGACGATATGGGTTTGCGGACATCCTATCCGCCGGGCTTCAGGATTAGAATGAACGTGCTTTGGAGCCATGCGCCTGGGAAGGTGTGATTAATCCAGAGGTTGTTGACAGCGTGTAAAAATGTTGCTAAGTTTAAAGTAGAAAGATTGATGAAAAACGAGTAAGGTGGCCCATGTGAGCCAACCGAAGTTTTGTCGCCGCATTCGGCCAGGAACAGCTTGAGTTTACGCGTGGCAAAAAGCTTCATTACAAGCTTCATCGTGATCTGAGGTAAACTCGGGGGCGGAAGCTTTGTCAGTTAAACGGAAATGAAAGGGTTTAGCCGCACCCCAAATTTAGGCAGCATTGGTACTAAATGTTCCAGTGGCTTTGTTGATGCGCCACATGTGCCGACACTGTTACCCGCAGGTAGCGTTGTCGGCGGGGAGGTAAAGGTAGCTCCGCTGCATGTTGGTTTTGACTGAATTTCGTGCATGCGATTGCATGCCAGCGCCTGAAAGGCCTGAATGGTTATTGGAAGGTTTGGATTAATAACAGAAAAGAAGATCATATGTTCGAAGATTTATGAAAATTAGTAATCATAAGCGCATTGAGAATTGAGGTCCTGATTACTCCTGCTGCCAGGTATATCGGTCCACTGAACTTGGCGCGAAACTCAGCTCGCTCTAAATTTTGTTGGTTATGCAATTTGTCTTCGCTTGAAAAAGGCTTTGGAAGTGTTTTAACCTCAAGCTGCTATCACATCACCTTTCTGTAAGACATTAGCTCAGTGTTATGAAGTTGATGGTAACCATGCATTAAGCCCTGATTACCAATGTTTAGTGTGCATGCACTGAATGCATTGGAGTAAGTCTGCTGCATTACCCAGGTAATTTTGGTAGCATTTTTCCCTTGTACTCTGGTGTTAGGCAACAACAAAACTGGGTCCACTGTGCCAATGGCCAGGCACCTTATTTAAATTTATACTCTGAACTTGGTGCACTTGTGTGCGGAGCTCTCTTGATTTTTTCTCTTGCTGATTTTTGCTCTCTTGATGAGCTGATCTTTTAGATGTTTAATGGAAAATTATTTCTGGGTTGTGTTTTCTGGAAATTGTTCGCACACCTTTCCAACAATCTGATGCTTCTGTTATCCCAGATGTTTCACATCAGTTATCATTTTCGACCCAATTTTGACTTACCTCCACTGCACAGTGTTGATTTGTCCAACTTAAGTATTTTTTTAGACTGCTGCAAATTAACAGAAATTATTAATAATGTGACAGTCTGTAACAAATCTTATGCATTTCCAGCTATTTTTCAACTATTTCTTATCACATGCTGGCCATGCTGGCTCTATATGCTCCCTCCTGCTCATTATGCTGCATTATTTGCAACAAGTGAAATAGGTTATGTCCATCTGGTGGGAATTGAGCTAGAGATGTGGAAAGGCAAAAGCTGCTCATCAGAATCTAACAGAATTTGGCTCTAGCATTATGAAGAAAGCATTACACATTTGCATGGGGCTTTTAACTGAAGTAACCTTAACTTTTAAGTGAAGTTTTAAGAAAGTAACTTTAAGTGAAGTTTTTAAGAAGTAAGTGAAGAAGTAACTTTTAAGTAAAGTTTAAGTCAAAGACTGCTCAGTGCAGTTCACAGCTTTGCCCTTCTTAAGACCTAAAATTCTCTAGTTTCTGAGCTACATGCCTGTGAAGATATGCAGGCTATTTTGTGCAGGCTATTTCAAGGTTAACCAGGCATCCATGATGCTGTAATAACTTACACAAATCCTGTCATTTTTCTGGTCACATGGCAATCAAGGCAAAGGCAGATAAAAACATAATTGTCACACAATGCATGTCTTGTTTGCGAACATGGTTCATGGATATAACAATATCCACATGTAATCTGGACATAATGATTTCCAGATATAGCAGCTGTTAATTGGTCTTCACTCTATAGTGCAAGATATGGGAACAACCAAATGGTGATGTTCTGAGAAGGATATTTACCAGAGAAATTGTGTTGTGTAGAGCAGTCCTTTCCCTTTAAAAGTATACCAATGGTGGTAAGTGAGCCTATTTCTTCATATCTGATGCTTGCTTCAATATATTCACATGTAAAACATTCCCTTTTGGTCTTTAAATATTGTATCATCATACCATACAGTGGGGATCTTTCAGCTTTGGTGTGCTTACTGTGCTAGGACATGTGCGGATGAGGTTGCAATCATTCCCACCACAATCATTGGGGATGGGATTGAAACCTTGATTACCAGGACCGATAATTTAACTATCATCATCAGAGAAAGGATTTGACCCATTCTCATTGACTTGCAGCATGTCAAAACTGGTACATTTCTTATGGTTTGAATATTTGAAGAGTGACTGTGTGCCACAGGTACATCCAAACAATAACAGTGTCCTGTTGTGAATCCAATCAACATCAAACCAATTGACATATAATAATGGCAATCATCTAATCAACAACAAAGTAAAATTTCTGCACACTTGAATGATCAGTGACAATTCCTGTACCACAAATTCTTTAAGCCAAGAGCAATGATTTCTTTTCCCATAACTTGTAGCAACTTTTCCCAACATTTTGTGAGGAAAATGGCCTGTATGAGGCTTAGACCTGAGGATTTCTGAAGGCCCATCAAAATTTTATTTTTGTTTGCACCTAAGCCACATTTTCAGAATATCTCAGTTTCACATGCCAGCTACATGCCTGCCAGGATGTCCTGAGTATTCAGTTACGCAGGCATCCACGGCTCCATAAAAATGTCATTCAAATCTGGCAATTCCACTGGCCATACAGCATTCAAGTTCAGTATAAATGTCATTGCCGAGTGGCTCATATCTGTTGTTCATGAACATGATTCCCAGATATTACTGCCATCAATTGGCTCTCAAGATGTCTTGGCTTTCAAGATATCCACAAAAAGCATTGAGGGGTCTGTCAGCCTTCCTCTCATCAGGCAAGGGCCTAGATGCAGTCTTCACAAAGACCTCACAGTGCACCTGTCCATCTCAGCCCAAAACCTCAAATGAATATTCAACAGTCCTTGTTAATGGCAAACAGCATGGGGCATCATGACTCTGCCTGCTATTGCTTGCTATTTTGGTTACATTTTATTTGTACACAGACAGTGGAATGAGCATAGGGGTAAGGAGTAAAATATGTGTAGGTGTAAAATCAGCTGACCAGTGCTCATCTGATTTCTGCCTCATGTGCATCAAAAGGGGGACATTGGTTCTTGTGCTGTTTGTGCATGTTAAACACCATCCAAGTTTAAACATGGCAAGCATGCTAAGTCTAAATTCATTGGTTAATCATTCGGGACATTCTGTCGCATTGAAGTTCGGTGCTCGGCTTAAAGAGCAATTGTCACCTGCCAAGTTATGGTGAGTGAGACGTTACAATGTCTTTGAGTCCCGACCTTGTGCTCACCTATGCCAGCAGAGATGGCGTCTGAACTGCTGACGCCGGCGGTGGTGATGCCGTCCGAGGTGCCGACGCCGGCGGTGGTGATGCCGTCTGAGGTGCCGACGCCGGCGGTGGTGATGCCGTCCCCGCCAGGTGCCACTGTGCTCGGCCTAGTCGAGCCACTGGCGGGCGGCCCGCGCCTACAGACCGGCACGGTGGAGCTCGGGGCGCCGCCGCTCGCCCCCATCTACTGCCTGGTGTGTAACGTGCAGGGCCTGGACCATGTCTACTGGAACATCCACGGCTCCTTCACCAACACGAGCAGTGCCGTGCTGGCTGACAAGATCCTGGAGTGCGTTCAGAGCAGCTTGCGTGCCGCCGAGCTCGGCCGGTACTCTGAGTACGTGTGCAGTGGCTGCGCCGCGCAGCTTAACCTGGTCGACGAGTATGAGACGGCACTTTCGCGCATCCGCGCCGACTTCAAGCAAAAGTTTTGGCAGACGTTCATTGCGCGCGGCCAGATCTCCGTGTCGGAGGTGTCGCGTGTCGCTGACGCTGGGACGCAGGCGCCCGCGCGCGGCCCGCTCGCACCACCGGCGTCGAAGGCGGACGCCGACGTAACTGCGCCGCCGGCTGTCGCGGAAGGCACACTGCCTTCGAGTAACGCTCGGCGCCGACTGCGGACTGGCGAAGGGCCTGTGAAGACCGAGCCGGCCGCGGCGGCGGACGCGGCGTTACGCCCGGAGACACCGCTGAAGATGGAGATCACCGATATCGGTGAGGGCCGCCTGCTGCAGCTGGTCTCTGTCTCCTGTTATGCCAGTCACACTCTTTGGAAGGATCCAGTTTAGGTGCTGTATTATTAGCGTACGTCTGCCTGTCTGTGCCCGTCTGTGTACGCATTTTAACCAGACGCACAGCACAGTCTGTTTCATGGATGACAGGGGAATGCGCGTATACCACGAGTTCAACGTTTGTGACGGTCCACGACATCAGTTCACGCTCGTCTAATATCGGCGTGGGCCACGGCGGACCACAGCGGTGTGTTTTGCGGGTATCAGTGACACAATGTTGACATGTGGGGAAGACGAACTGTGGAAATACCAAATTGTCGAAAACGTGTCGCAAAGCCCTAGCAGCGATAAATATAGCGCGGGGCGTATTGGCCGAGTGGTTAGCACGTCGGACTCTCACGAAGGGGCATGGGTTTAAATTTCGGATGCGCGTTAGCCCCTGGGTGCTTATGTGGCCAATGTGGTCGCTGGTGCTCCACAAAATAGACGTAGCGACATGCGCCGCAGTCCTTTGTTAACACACTGTGTCCCTGCACGCAAGGGATCTGCCAATTGACACAGGCACTGAAATCTTGGAAGAAAAGGGTCATTAAGATGCGCTCTGCACTATTGAAACGCAAACTAATGTTACATGGCAGGGGGCGGTGCTTTACATAGGTTTAAGGCGCCGGCCTCTCGCAAGGCGAAGTAAGGGGAGAGCCAAATTATATCTGTTCGTAGTCTTGAGAGCGTTGTACAGCGTTGCGTCCTGAGAGCGTGGAACAGCGTTATGCGGGCGATGTGTCCGATTGAGCGAGTAGTGCTAAATGGTTCACGAATGTTAACTGACATCACTTCATATTCTCGACATAGTTACGCTAACGTCACGTCACGTTAATGAGTCAACGACACGCCACGCTAGCGAGTTAACGCTACCCCACGCTAACGAGTTAATGTCACGTCACTTCACGTTAATGAGTTAACGTCACGTTGGAGAGTAAACATCACATTACGCGAACGAATGAACGTCGCGTCTCGTTAATGGGTTAACGTCACGTCACGTCAAGTTAATCAGTAAACCACGTCATGCTGATGAGTTTTTGTCACCCCTTGTTAATGAGTTAACGCAACATTACGCGAGCGAGTTAACGTCACGTCACGCCGATGAGTTAACGTCACGCCACGCTAGTAAGTTATCGTGACGTCGCGGGTGGCGAAGCTACCGCGACCAATTACATAGCTTCTTTGTGCATTGAAGCAAGCGGAAGCCGCCTGTGGTTACCAAGTTTGTAGTTGTGTGTTCAGTTGATGGCATGCTGCTCGTCATGGTGTCGCTTGTTACGTGGCTCTTGGACATTGCTCATTGTGATTGGAATGGTAACGGTTGTGGTGCCATCTGGTTGGTGGGGTGCTGGTTTCGGACTAAATATGCGTTGTATGACAATATTCTTATCTATAGTCGTGTTTGGTGCCTTGCATGTAGTTCCGCGTTCCGCTACGCGTAGAAAACCCAATTTTGCACTCTGCAAACAGACTCATTTGGGTGACAGCCCACCCTGTTCACCAACTTTGGTTCCATCGGCTTCCAACCATTGACTCGCTTGACTTCCAGCCAATGACTCACCGGATTCCGAGCCACTTGTTCGCTCTCAGCGTCTCGCCTCTTGCCTTCCGCCTCGCCGTGCCCCTGAGCGCATGACCACTCTGCGGCAGATGACCTGGTGACCGAGCCCCCATCAGAGCGTCGCCTGCCGCACGCCTCGTCGGCGCCGCCGGCTGTCGTCGCCGACTCGGATGACCCGGGCTCGCCTCGGCCGGACGAGTCCAAGGCCGAGGGGACGGCGGCACGGCAGCGGGTTAGAACTGGGTTGGCCGCTGGGGCACCGATGACACGCGATAACAAACAGCGCTCCCATTATAGTCAGACGAGAGGTTAAAGGAAATGTTCCACATTTGAAGATATTGAAGCCAGCATCAAGTATGATGGAATAAACTCACCTATAACTGTTGTTGGACGTTTCAGTGTAAAAAACGACCCTAGACAAAATTTTCTATTTAGTAAATGTGCTCCTCGATACGTCATTGTTTGGTTGCGTCATGGAACGTTTGCATGACAGCACTCACTTGTAGTTCTTCAGTAACCCGAGAGGTAGTGACGAGATAGATGGTAGATGTGCCACGGGAAGCACAAGCATGAGCACAGCAAACACGTCAAGCACAAGTGCTTACTGTGCCAAATATCGTTATGTGCTCGTGTCTTGGCCCATTCTCGTGGTATTCTTGCGCTGTTATCCGTGGGGTAGAATTGTTAACTTGCACTCACGTACTCGGCTACAACGCTATTCGTAAGTCATTCGTGATAAGATATTGCGGAGCTGGCACAACATTTGTTGAGAGTTATTAACGGTCGTGTTTTCTGAAAGTCGTGCTCATGAACGCTAGCTATGAACGACTCAGCAATCGTATTTTTTTACCTTGAACACCGCATGGCCAGTTGAATGGAGGATTTGAATGATATTATCGCGTCAAGGTGTTGAGTTTACTGGAATGCACAGGGTCATACATTTTATTGCTGTGTAATTACATGCACACACACACGCATCCGCACACGCGCGCACGCACGCATGCACGCACGCACGCACGCACGCACGCACGCACGCACGCACGCACATGCATATATATGCGGAGTGTCTGTGCGTATACCACCTTGTGCACTAAGTATGCATTGTGTATTTTGATATAAGGGGCTCAGGCACGACAGCGGGGCGTGCGTCATCCAGTCAACTTAGCGCATTTTTAGTCCATGACGTTCAGTGAGTGATGCATAGCGTTCGATGACCCCAGTCAATCTGTTGCCAAGAGCGGCATCGTTCACCCGTGCCGTGAACTGTGACGATAACGGTAAACTCCATGTCTGGCCGCCTGCAGCCGCCGACCAGCCGGGCCAAGACGCGCACGGACTGGACTGAGGTGGACAAACACTACCGTAAAGTGGTCGACCCGGACGACGGTGGCGCCGAGCGCTTCCAGTGCATCGTCTGTCTGTCCAAGATCAAGGTGGGCCGCGTGCTATGATCCGCGTGACACGGAGCGGCTCTGCCCGGGTCTGCACGGTGCTGGGAGCTCCGGCACGGCAGTCGAGAGTGCACCATCCTGGTCACTTATCGTGCTGCTGAAGGAATGTTCCGCGTTTGGAGATAGGCAAGCATCAGATATAACGTGGAAACCCCACTTACAACTGCTGGTGTGCTTCTAAGCACAAAACACTGTTCTATACAACGCAATGCTGATTGCGTCACGTGACCTAGTTGTGTCGTCAGCTTGGCTGCCAGACTGGTCGCGTCCGAATGACCACTGCAGTGAACGGGCTGACTCACTTGTAGTGCTTCAATTCGCCGAGAGGTGGCTTGTTAATTTATGCGTGTGAGATAAACCGAAGGTCGTTGTGGGCGCGTGTTTAAGCCCTTTTGGCATTTATTTTGTATATTTGTCCGTGATGTCATGTTTTTTTACGTGCATGTGCATTCTTGGTTATCGCGCTATTCTTATGGATTGCCAGGCTCATTTCCGTCTTAGTCAATAGAGCTGCGGAAATAGCATTTGGCAACCCCGTACAAATGTGGAGCAATCCCTTTAAGAAGTAACGTGAGTTTGTAGCTTGTGAGAGATGTGGCAGACTTGTGTTGCTGTAAAATCCAAAGCGCACCGACTTGTTCACTAATGGCGTTCTGTTCTGCGTACGCGTAACGCGATTGCGAGGGGCTTGCGAAAGAAAGTATTTATTTCTGCACCAGGACCGGAAGGAGGTGCGGAAGCACGTGCGCCGCCACTTGGGCATGATCAAGCTGCTTAAGTGCGGCTACTGCGACTACCGCTGCTACCGGCCCAGCAACCTAGTCATCCACGAGCGGCGGCACACTGGCGAGCGGCCCTTCACCTGCGAGGTGGGTCTCGCCTGCTCCCCGGCCGGCCCGAGCACGCGGGTGTGTCGCTCCCGCAGTCCCCGGCCGGATGGATATGTCCCCTCCCGGCCACCTGCGAGAGTGTGGGTCTCGCCGCCACTGTGTCGGCCTTTAGCGAGATGGGTATCAACACGCAGCAGATGCTGCTGGCGCTGGCTGAGGTGTCCGAACTATACGGATTCGCATCGAATACAGCTGAGCACACCATTGGCAGGTTACGGAATAGGCCCTACTTGATTGAACCGCAGTGACGTCATTGTATATAGCGTCACTGATACGGATATCTGAAACGTCACTGATGCGGGCTGTCGGCCTCGTCTCATGTGCAGATGTACACGCTTCTGCCAGGCGCCTCTCCGGCCGTCGGCGGGTTGTGTTCTGATAAGGACTTCATCCCCAATATATTTAGGAGGTGACCAGTAGTGATCAGATCACATCAGATAATCAGATGGCAGGGTCCTTCCCAGGGCTCCACAACTCCTGATGGCGGCTGGACCACCCGCCGTGGTAACTGACCGTAGCGTTGTCTGCATACCAACATACTAGATGACGACGATAGTCAGAATGCTCATTCGATCGGTGACACTAGTGCCTCGTTTCAATCCCTCCGTTAGACTTCTGTAGTACGTTGCATTACTCTGTGTTGCCCTATTGATGAGAAGTGATAATGGTGTGGTGTGGAAGTGATAAAATAGTGTTGTGTTTCATGATGCTGCACTGTGGTATCATAAAATGCTACGACATATGATGAATGATGATGTGTCACCATATTGAAATGATAGACATCGTACCGCATGCATACCTTTCGTTGTCTGCAACGGCATACGTATGCCATGAATGTCTTATTCTTTAAGAAAGACTTGCTTTAATGAAACGTGAAACTGATTTACCTCTTTTCGGATCCATGCGACGTGAATGTACGTACGCTTCGGCTCATAGGCATAGCACATTCAGTGGCGTTCGTTAAACGCTGTGTACGACACAACACACGTGTATTGCTGGTGTAAGATGGCTGGGGGGCGCGCAGTTCTGAGTGAGCCGCACCGTAACGCCCCCCCCCCCCCCCCATGCCGGGTAGGTTTGCGGCACCGGCTTCAAGTCCAACGACAGTCTGAACGTGCACCGGCGCACGCACACGGGCGAGCGGCCCTACGAGTGCACCGACTGCCACAAGCGGTTCACCCAGCACTCGTCGCTGCAGATTCACAAACAGGTGATGACCGCTGCCGACGGCACGGCCGCCGTGCTGAGGCGTGGTTGTTGGGCACGGCCGAACACGGGGCCGGCTGTTGCAGGCAGTGAGCTGGCCGTGCTCCCGTGGTTATGAGCTATGCCAGCTGAGATTTTAGAGACTGTTAGTCTCTAAAATTGTCTCTAAATTGTGTAAAAAGTCTCTAAATTGTGTGAGTTTCTAAAAAGTTGCTGTGATGGTTTGCATGGCTCGTGTTGATCGCTCCGCCAATCGTCAGTGTCCAGTGTGTACATCGAGGGCGCCACCAGGCATCCATGTGTGCTGTCCTGCGTAGGCTGACCCTCCCCTCCGTCAGGTCCACTCGTCGCGGAAGCGGCACATCTGCGACTACTGCGGCAAGAGTTTCACCCAGCTGGGCAACCTCAAGTGCCACCGGCGCGTGCATACGGGAGAGACGCCATACCCGTGCCCCACCTGCGGCCGCCAGTTCCGCTCCGACTACCATCTCAAGGTGGGTGAGGGCCGACGCCTCGACCGACCGTGTGCAGCGGTGCGCGTTCTGGCCCCGAGAGGTGGCTCCGTCTGGCGGGGTCTGCCTTGTGATGACCGCAGATAATGTCCATGCCCATGCGGATGAGAGCGTCGTTGATGTCAGGTCATATCCGCTCGGGTCAGTGTTGGCCCTCTAGATTTGAGCGTAGCGTGCTTAAAAACGGTCTGTCACAGACGGCACCTCCGTGGCGTTACCCGCCGCCTCCAGACCAGGCCACCACAACCTTGAAATGGAAGTGCACCCGGCTGCTGGCTTAATTTCCTCTGGTGCTATGCCGCGGCGCCAATGATCACAGGAGAAACACACGCCATACAATGACTAGTGTATCGCTCGGACGGCGATGGGGCCAGTGACGGGCGTGGGCGCGCGGCAGGTGCACCAGATCGAGCACACGGGCCGCCGGCCGCACCAGTGCTGTGTCTGCCAGCTGGGCTTCCTCACCGCCCACAAGCTGAAGCAGCACATGGCCACCCACACTGGCGACAAGGTGAGCCGCGGCTGGTTAGGCTCGCTGGGGCGCCGGGGCCGGGCCGATCCGGTCAGATAGCGCCCTGGGGGTGCATGTGTGCGTCCGTGTGTTATCTGGATGACGTGTTGTTTTATGTACATACACCTATTTTATCATGCAGGGGATGTTTAGGGGTAGGGGAGGGGTAGTGTGGGCGAATTTCTGTACATATGCGAGGCGTTTAACACGCGCCCGGTGGCCATATCTCAGAAAGTAAGCGGGCTGGGCACCAAATTCGCGGGGTGGGCTGGCCTACATGTGAACTCACTTATGTCAAAGTGTGATATTCCTAGGTCGTGATCTTTGGATCAAATAAGGTCAAACAAGTGTAAACTTCAGATTGGTACCCAAAGTGCCCCAGACTTCCTCATGCAACCGCCTTGGACCTAGATACCTGTTATAGCCAAAAGGTCACGGATCTTTATTCAAGGTAAGTGACTTTTCACCTTTCGAAAGTCAAGGACCAAAGCCTACGAGCTTGCTTCGATTTCGGCATTTGGTTAAACGTCAGGTATTACACTAGGCGATATGCTCCTGAATTAAAATGTTGACCTGTGTTATTTTTACGTCAGTGACCTCCTCTGACATTTGGGAGGTCCATGGAACATGGCTATTGCGGTCCATGACATGAAATATGCGCGAATCGAAATGAGCACCAGAACCTACCAGATCCAGCAAGCTCGTGGTGAAAAATAAATTTAGTTTTGACCTTGTCCTGACTTTTATGCCTGACCCTAGGTAAAGGAGTTTATTATAATTATAAATTTAGTTGTTCCATTGCATAAGAAACCCGGGTGCCTGGCTTCGTCTAACACCCCGTTGTCGCATCAGAGTGAACGATTCCCGAGAAATTGCCTTCGCTGAAAGCCACGACCTGACTTTGACCCGCCATAGGTCAGCGGCCTTAACATCTAATTTTGTGCACTAAAAGATCCGTTTTTCAGCCGCCTACAGCCATGCAATGTTTGGCGCTGCTACGCCTCGCTTTCAGAAATCATTCTGGAAAGAGCCTCTGGGGGGAGGGGGTCAGATTCAACTCCCTGACCCGAGCGCGTGTTAAGCGCCGGACCTCGATCGGCGCGTGGTTGCGGAGTTTCCCTGCGTTCCGGGCGTGACCCCGCTGCCCTCCCTCAGATCGGCTACACGTGCGAGAGCTGCAACAAACAACTGACAACGCGCAAGTCGCTGCGCGACCATCAACGCATCCACACAGGCGAGCGGCCCTTCCCGTGCGCCGTGTGCGCCGCCGCCTTCCGCACCGAGACGCTGCTGCGCGCCCATCGCCGCCAGCACGCGTCGCAGCTGCAGTGCTCGGCGTGTGGCCAAGCGTGTCGCACGGAGGCGCAGATGGCGGCGCACGAGCGCACGTACCACCCGGCGTTGGGCGGCGGGTCAGGTAGCAAACCGCCACCGCCGCCGCCGCAGTCGGCGCCGCCGCCACCACCGCCGCCGCACCAGCGGTCAGTGCCGCAGCCGCAGCCGGAATCGCAGTCGCAGTCGGAGTCGCAGTCGCAGTCACAGTCGCAGCCGCAGTCGCAGCTGCAGCCACGATCACAGTCACAGTCACAGTCGCCGCCGCCGCCGCCGCCGCCGCCGCCGCCGCCGCCTGGTCGACCGCAGCTGGTGATCGCCGAGACGGTGACACTGGCGCCGGCGCTCCTCGTCACCGTCGGCACGGCGCCTCCCGGCCCGGGAGAGGCCATCTTCTGAGCCGCCGCCCGTACAAGCTCTTCCCCCCCCCTCCCCCCCCCCCCCCCGGCCCAGGACAGCCCATCGTCTGAGCCACCGTCCGTGCGGGCCCGGCCCGGGAGAGGCCACCTTCTGAGCCGCCGCCCGTACAGCTCCCCCTTCCTCCCCCGGCCCAGGACAACCCATCACCTTAGCCACCGTCCGTACGGGCCCGGCCCGGGATCCACTTCGGATGCCCCGTTCGGAGCCGCCGCCCGTACAGCTCCCCCCTCCTCCCCTCCTCCCCGGCCCAGGACAACCCATCACCTTAGCCACCGTCCGTACGGGGTGAGGCCATCTGAGCCGCCGTTCGCCCCGTGCCGCCTGGTTCGCAGGAGGCTGTCTGAGCGCGTAACGGATGGGACGAGGCTGCCGCTGGTCAGGAACGGGCATGGGACAGGCACCGCTGGTGATCTGGGGGCTGTGGTCCAATAGTCTGTGACTGAGTGCTGATTCCGTTGGTGTGGGTGTGCTGGGCGCTATGGAAGGGTGCCTATCGGTCTCTCCCACCGCCACCTCACACTTCCAAGCTCTACAGCGGCAAACTTGTGCCAGACAAGTCGTTAACAACAGACAGTGCGTGTGCGCTGTTGTGGTAAACAGCACTGGGGCCAAAGTATGTATATCTGGTGGCATGTATGGGTTCACTGATTTCAGTGACGCGGTTGGCGGGTTGTCTAATCAGACGTCTACCGAGAGGCCAAGTGAAAAATGATCTTTGAAATGCCAATAATGGTATTTATGCTAAACAAGTGCACAAACCAGCTTTGAACCGTTGGCTATGATGAGGTCAGCATTATTTCAGGTACATTTTTTCAGGCATCACTCGCATCATCCCACATGCTTATAATCTCCTCGGCCTTTGGTTCAGGGGATGTGCTAACGCTATTCAGGACTCGCGATATGTTGAATATCAATGATAGTGCTTAATTTGATGCATACGTGTAAACCAAAAACGACACATTTTCCGGCAGCCAATCTGCTGGTGAAGAGAACCACATGCGATGCTTATCATACTGATACAACGACGGGCCAGCAGTCAGTCATAGTGTTCAGGGTAGGTTATAGGTTTATATTTTGGATTGGTTATCAATTTTTATTGCAGTGCAATCTTGATTACTCGTGAGCAGCCCGATCCCGAAGGTGGTGGTAATTTCAGGATTTGGAACATGCGCACGCCACTGTGCTGCACTCTCCTCCAATGCAGGATGGAGTTTTCGGGCGCGGGCGTCCGCCAACTGCCGATTCAAGCGTTTTCCTTTAGGACACTTGCTCTAGCCCTCATGAAACTTGGCCTGCCGTTATGCTTCACGTAGCTTGTGTGAGTTTGCACACTACATCTCGGGGCATGGTGTGGACTGGTTTAGGGTATCCAGAATCACAAGCTGAAGAGATCATATGCGTATGGGATTTTGCGAGTGATTGAGCACATACCTGAAATGATGTCGACTAAGGGCGGTCAGGGGCAGAAAGATTGCCCGCTTGTGATTTGTTCGTTTTCATTAAAGAACACAAGTCTTGGAGCAATAAGAAACAATTAATTTGAACAGTAATGTTAACGAATCGATTGGCTCTCCGACATTTAGAGACATTTATTAAGGCGCTGAGAAGCAGTGTATCAATTGAGTTTCAGCGTTGGAGGACTGGACAAGCCATGGCCTGCACATTGTTGACAGTGACGGTCACGTCACGCCCCTGGTCAGGCGCTCAATGGCAACTCCCACCTCTTTCGCAGCGTTTCACGTCTCGTGGTCACACAAGTGTGACAACGGACGCTTTGAACGCTGCGCGGGGAGGTCAGTGCACCCGGCATGGCGCACTCCTGGCCACAAACAAAACAGACAATAGGTCTGGCGCACACGCTGACCGTATGCTGTTCTTGCTACGAATACATCTTGGTTCCACCGGTATTGACAGTTAGGTTCGGGGGTCATAGCTTTATAAGAACATATTGTAATGGCCTTACGGCGGTGCCGGCCTCGGGCCCGCCGCTGGTGTGTCTGGGATCTGCCGATGCTTCTGTTCTGGCGTCCAGCTTTCTGGAACAGATGATGTTCGTGGTAGTGTCGACTCACTTAGCACATCACATCACCCACGGAATGAGTGAAAGAGCGATTCATACGCTAATGGCCGCAGGAGCGTAGGAACTTCGAAACGGTGCGTAGAAGCTTTTGACCCGTGTCTTGTCCTGCAGTATGATGTCGCACTACAGGAATAATAACGAAGGGCCTGTGGCAAATTTTCCCAATAAGGTACTGTCGTATCATCACAAATTTGATGTCCTTCTCCGTCCATGTAACTTGTCACACATCTGGGTGTTTCTGCTGTTGCGAGACCAGCATCTTTGAGGACATGCTCTTTCGGGCGGCGTGGCGGACGCAGTTCAGCACGTGCAGCTTACGTAGGTTGGTTTTTCTGCTGCGTGTGGGAAAAGGAGACTCATGATGCGGCTTGAAGGTGTTTCAGAACCCCTGCTGCTGGCGTCCTCGAACGTCCCCACTCGTCCTCACCGGCGACGCTGTGCTTTTGCTATCAGGATCTCAGATATGCCATCCCGCTGTATGACCTGGAGATGCATCCATATTTCTTCTACGAGGTGTTTGGAGACGTGGTCTGTTTTCTGTGATATTAAAACGGACGTGTTTGCGCCGACGAACATGCTGGGAGGAAGCTCTGTCCCCCGTTTCGTAACGTGTCGCTACCAGTAGGCGCAAATAAATACCGCCTTGTCGAGACGCTTGCTTACCCTGGGGACATTAACCGACCGGGCTGCCCGATCAGCAGTCTTGCTGGCCAAAGAGCGCTGCACACACCAGCTGTCCGAACGCGCTCGCTGGGGTTCGCGTATGCTTCCCCTTCTTATCAGCGCAGTACAGCTTTGGGGTGTTTACAATGACGGCTCTATGCGTCTCTCGTGGGGGGGGGGGGGGGGGGGGAAGGGGGAGGGCGTGCGCTTCTTAGGCAGCACGATGACCGCACCCATGCGGAGACTTCCGCGCGATGCCTTCGGACGGAGCCATGTTCTGTCGGTGTCGCTGGCGCTCGACGCATCACCCACCCCATGCTGCAGTCACCACAACAAAAAGCTGATCTGGCAGGGCTGGGCACGACGCCAGGCTCTCGGCGGACCTTTTGGCTAGCCATTACGATGTTGAAGTGTGATGCGTTTCTTGTACTTCGTTTGCGTGGTGTCTGAAATCGGCTTGCTGTGCAGTTGTTCGTTGTAGACCGAAGATCTCGAAGTATTTTCATGGATTTGTACGCCTTTTCGCAGAGTGATGTGGTTATGGGACTACACGGAGGTTATGGCCTCATGCCCCGAATTCAGATGGTGTGACTTTTTTATCACTATGCTTTCCTTGGTGCTTGTCCTGTGTCATTTGCTTCATTTCCATACGAGATGCATGTGCTGCTGGTTTTTTAACCATGATTGGCACCGTATTGTCATTTTCACCACGCGACGCCTTCGCGGCTGTGGAAGGCGACGGCCAAGCTCTTGAACGTTCACGCGATATGCCTGACGAATAAACGAGTGGGTCGTTTGGAAACTTTTGTTCTTCGAATGGCTGCATAATGCTGAATCTGAAGAAGGTTGCGTTTAGGCGTTTACAGCTCTCGTGGGGCGGACGCGGATGTAAATCACTGCCGATGAGTAAAGTCGCTCTCTTACTCACGATTCTAGTCAAATCGTTTCCAACGACCCATCCAGCAACCAGAATGTAAAACCATGCCGCGGAGCTGGGAAGAGTGGGCTCTATGAATTAAGATGTCAACGGTTCGGGTTGAATTTGACTTGCGGGATTGCGATGACCGCGCTGCAAAAGTTAGCACTCCATGCGTATCTTGTTAGAAATGAGGCCGAACGCGGTACACTGCAGGCCCTGCTTGAGTGCGCATGGAGAGTGATATGTTTGCGTGTATGGCCTCCTTCTTCATAATGGGGCCTCATGGCGCATAATGGGAGCCTCTTAGTACACATGGGGGCCTCCTGGTATATAGCGTGCCCCCACTAGCTCATAGCGGGAACCTTGCAGTTCATAACGGGGCCAAGGTCATACCGGGGGGGGGGGGGGGGGACGGGGACCTAGTTCGAAATAGGTCTCCAAGTTTAAAACGGGACCTCCTAGTTCATCCAAGGAACCTCCTTGTTAAAACGGGGCCTCCAAGTTCATCAAGGGGTCTCTTAGCTCATAACGGCGGTCTCCCAAGCCGGCACATGGTCCCCTTAACACAAAGTTAGACCTGATGTAGAAAATGTGTCTTGGTCGCTAAAGGCGGTGTCATGAGCCAGGAAGCAGCCAATTTATGCAGAAAAACCTTTCTGAGGCCGGGTTAATAGCCTCTAGCTGAACTGTCGGACCTCCTTGGCCTGAATTTTGGTAATGCACGTAAGCCACAAAGCTTTTGTTAGGCAAAAGCGGGCGGATTGAACGCCAACGTAGATCAAAATATGAGGTTCAAAATTTGCATTGATAGGTCTAAGCCTTGCCCGCCTTGGGAGGTCCGTCTTTCTTTAGAATCCACCAGGGAAAAAGATATGAAATAGATTGGGACAGATTGGGCCGCTGCCACTACCGATGCGTTGTGTGCCAGGGACCTGGATACCACACAAAAGCTCTGTTGGTAATTCCTCGTGCAAAGTGCAACGTCGTGCCAGGGAAACCGTGGGGATGTGTCCGGCACAAGGATAATGGAAACGGACCCCCCGAAGCAAACGTTTCGAAAATTAGCCGGTCGGTACCGCCTCATGGTCGGGAACAGCGTCGCGCAGCTGCGTGTTCAGTCGAGAGTGCGTGTTGGCCCGATGGTGATACGCGTCAGCTGTGTTATCGCCTCACTGAACGAGGACACAGACCTGGGGAACAACCTCAGCTAAGGTGCACGAAGCAACCGCGGTGCACTTCCTAGACGGAAAGCATGCTGCGTATGCATCATCCCCCACGCTTTCCAGTCTTTAGTTACTCGCTCACTCCTGTCTGCCTCCGACACCCCGCAGACATCCCATGCAGTTCCGTCTTGCCACAACTGTCAGAAATGTTTTAGTGAGGCGCAGACACTTGTATAAGTCCATGCTTATGGTGTAAAGAGGGCGTCAATTAGTTGTTTGTGCAATCTGTAGGGATATTTGAACTCCGCAAGCAATGCTTGTTACGATTTTCTGGCCCCAAAATAAAGCGTAAGACCTAATGCACACTGCATGCGCCGCATGCGCCCCGCCCGCAGGCACGGTTGTCGATTTGTATTCTTTTGTGAGGGCTCTGCCCCCCCCCCCTCATTGTTGGCTTGGCCCCCCAATGTTTTTGGCGGGAGTACCACAAAAAACGTGGGTAAAAGATAATCATATCTCAAAGACTCTCTTCTTGGATCTTTCTGCGTAATGGCGTCTCGTACCACTCTTATAATGATTGTTTTCACCATAAGATACAAATCGTAATAGCTGGGCGAATAAACGATGCAATAAACTGCACATGCCTAGCGCCATAAGACACGCAATGATTTGTGAGGTTAAAGCGAAAAACTCTGGAATGTGGGGATGGCCGAGTCCTTAATGGCTAACCCCGTCCCCGTCTCTCATAGCCAAAATGCGTGCTGCCTCCCATGACCGCCAAAGAAGGGCGCCATCGGCGCCCTAAGGTGGCCTCTGAAAAGGCGCCTTCACGTGCCGATCAGAGATGTGTGCGTCCAGTGCCTGCTCTCTGGATCCAACCCCGCATGATTTCTATACGGCTTAAGTACTTTTATACATTATGCAAAGATTAAAAACATGCGTTACGTAAATCCAAATACAGTGGGCTAAATCCGGTGAGAAAAATGGGGAGGTGTAGGTTGTCGGGCCTTTGTTTCGCCCCCCCCCCCCCCCCCATAGTTTACAAAAATTGACACCCCTGCCTGCAGAAACAAGGTCGGTAGCCAGCGCGCACAGCAATGTGTCATGTGGAATCAGGCCCATTTCTTCTGCAGTACGTGCAGTGGTGAGCTGCAAGGGCACTCTGATGATGTCAAGCAGATGCAGACGTGCACATTCTGGCGTACTTTGCGATGCTGTCACTTCTGTTCAGGACTCGTGCACCGTTAACAGCAAGCAACGCGATAACAAGTCGGTCACGGGAGGTGTAATAAGCTCGCCTTCCTGTCACTCGGCACATGCATTCGAAAAGTCAAGTTGGCAGAAGGCCAGAACTGTCATTGCCACCACATCATCGATGGGCCAGGACAGCTGAGGCAGCTTGACCGGGCTTTGCTTCCGAACGTGCTGCGACGACCGGCCGTGCCTGGCCGGGATGTCCGCTGTCCGAGTGCTGCCTAGCCGGCAAAGGTGGCCTGGTGACATCGCCGACATGTCCGCTGTTGGACCAGTACCTACCCAGCAGATGTGGCCCAGTGACCGGCGGCCCGCGCCTCGCCGAGGTGTCTGTCGCACCGGTACCTGGCCAGCAGACGTGGCCCAGTGACCGCCGGACGGCCGTGCAGACTCGCTGCTGGCCGCCCGTTGAGCCGCTCTCTCCGGTCGCAGGCCAGTCCAGTTCCGGTTCGTTGACCGTTGCAAAGTGAGGCTCGGAACGGACCAGGAGCGGACCGTCCCAGTCCCGTCCGTGCGGTGCCCCGTACAGAAGCTCCGCGGTGTCGCGCCTACCATGGACACGCTGTCGGCTCTCGTGGCTGTGGCGCCGCCCGGCCTCACCACGCTCACTACCCTCATGGTCAGCGGCCTGCTGCTCGGCTCCATCTACTGGGTCTCTGACGACAGCCACAGCCAGCCGTACGCACTGCAGGGTGGTTACCAGCGTCGTGCCGGGTCGCCCGACTACGAGCAGCGCGGTGATCTGCTGCGAGGGGAAGATCCAGGCGGGCTTGCCAGCCCGGACCCCGGCTGGGACAGACTTCAGCTGGGGCCAGCGGAGGAGAGCAGAGGACACCGAGGTCCAGACTCGCAGCACGCCGGACGTCAGCAGCGGTCCGGGCTCACCGATAGCTTACGCGCAGAGGACAGGCGGCCGAAGCCAGTGAGCCTCAAAGCGTGGGACCAGAAATCGTGGCATCCAATGACGTATGAAGAGGCACGGCAACAGGGCCAAGGGTCAGAAGAGAGGACCGGGCGGCACGTGCCTGACAAAGACGGCGGTGCGCACTGAATGTCTGCGGGGTGTTGTGGATCTGCTTCGCGGCGCCCAGTGTGGTACGTGCTCGTGGCCTGAGCTCGCTGGGAGGCAAGTGTGACGAGCTCACCAAACGGGGGCTGCTGACATTGTCGCCGACTCCGAGCCTTTCACTGGCAGTGTGATCAGCTGGTCATGTCGGATGCGTTTCCATCTCTCGATGATGGTCTTCTTGACCAGAGTGAGCCGCTCCACCGCAGTTGCGCCGTTTGTGATAGATCTCCCGCCAAACAGACCATGTGACGGAATGATGATACAAACTAATGCCTCAACAAGATGAAGGCGGGTTAGCACAATGTTTCTTCCCTTTTAAACTTGTTTAGTCCCCAAGGACGAACAGCATTTCTCCTCCACGTAATCCACAAAACCTCATCTACAAAGTCATAGGCATTCTTACCTCCTGCTGTGAGCAGGTTAACAGAATCACGTGATACAAGAAACGTTCTGCACAGCGACTGAGCCCGGGCAACACAAATCCAAGCTCAGAATTAACTTCCGGTTCCTCCTTCCACGCCCAAACACCCCATGCCGGTGGAAATGCTGCTGCAGTTTTGCGTCACTAATACACATTTTCGGCCCAGAGCATGACTGTGCATGTGCCATCATTTAGCTAGCGCTTGCATGTCGGCGCTAAATTGAGTCCTGGATGGTTAGGTTTCTTAAAATCAGATGCAGTTTGGCTACATTATGCCTTCAGACTGTCGTATTCTTCTTCGGGAATACAAGGGCGTCGTATGGAATCCGAGGGCTTAAGGACGCCTGGCTTAGTCAATATACTATTAGGAATATACTGACGTGAAACCCCCTCGATCAGTTTATCATAGTGAGTCCGGTCCGATGTGGCGCCTGTACCGATGCTAACAAACGTCCAACTTAGCGGCAGATGTCCGATACCACTCAACATCCACAAGAAAAGAAGCCACGTGTATCAAACATGTACTTAAGTGGGCACAAACGATAGCCTAGGCGGCTGCTTGTCGAGGAGAAACCAGGACAAGAGCGCTGCGCCGGAGAAGTTATGTTTACGGCGGCGCGAACAACTATGTTGGGTGAAAAAGCATATGACTCGTTATAAGCGTTACATTCGGCTGCGGCTTCATACACCCACGTCCCCGACCAGTCACTCCGGCGCTATGTACAGACCGCGCAGATCTGGTGTGACATGTATTAAGCGGCTTAAGCGTCCCGTGCAGACGGATCCATCCGTCCGTGTGGGTCTAGGCAGTGCAGGTTAAGGGCACAACACAGTTCAGTATTGCTAGTCGGGGGCCAGACACCTTCTAGGTTACTATTGGAGGAGCATCACTATTGGTCGTGGAGGGGGGCCAGGTGTGTGTGTGTGGGGGGGGGGGGGGGGGGCAGCTACGGCCCACCCCTGCTGAACGCTACCCCCACCTCATCCAGACAGGCGGCGGCGCCCTGACGTACTGCACCAGCCAGCTCACCAGCTACAGCGCAGTCGTACGAAACTCATTAGGCGAACGGAACAAAACTAGCCGATACGGTCGGATGACGTCTAGTTATCACTGACACCTATGTTGTAGGACTAGAAACATAGAGACCGCGATTCTCGTATACGTACGACTACACGCACCCATAGATTCAAACCCATAGAAACACACAGATGACGTAAAAACACATAGCACCTGCGCCGGCACACAAGCTTCGCGTGCAGTGCAGGCCTCATTAATGGGTGAATATGGAGAAAACAAGGGAGCGACCCGTTTTCTCGAATAATTATCTAACGAGACATCCCAGCCCGGGAGACACAGTAGTTGGCCGGTGGCGCGCGGGGAGCGGGTACGGGCATGGCTGTCGAGGCTCCGGGCTGCCCACTGGGTCCGGGGGCGTGTCAGTCCCCTGCCAGCGACGCGCGCCGCTGCAGCTGGGCGACGGCGACGGCTGAGCCGTCCAAGGCATCCAGCATTGACAGCAGCCAGGCCGCCTGGTGGGCAGACAGTGATACACTGCCGTCAGACAACAGCGCAACCACCAGACAGCAGGCGGCAAAACACGGCTGAGGCGAACACACACACTATCTGGCGCAATAGACGCTTTTGGCAGAATGCAACGTCGCAGGGATGGAACACGGGACAAAGCTGAAGACCTTAAACAGACGATGACGTCACGCACACACTCACGCGGGGCACAAGTATAAACAAATCATCCGTGACGATGTCAAGCCTACAAGTCCAACTGGCGGCACACTCTGCAGCAGAGTCCAACGATGTGCAGCATCAGTGAATGCACTCTAAAGAGGACGACTTAAGCCTACACACAAACCGGAAAAAATCCGAGAACGAAGAAACTTCACCATGTTCTTGTAATCGGACGGCTCCAAACACGACACTTCGTACAAAAATATTGCAGGTTAGTCAAAATAACAAGCATCACCACGAGATATCACACATGCACATTTACACTTATTACGCCTATTCCCAAACATCGGATGCCCCATCCGCCAGAGCTGCAACCTGCTCGTCAGTTTCTGTCTGGCAGTAATACTATCCAGAAGAATGCAACGAATAACACCAAACCATGCTGCAGCGATGCAAGGTTACAAATACCGTCATCTGTTGTTTCGCACGACTGAGTCAAATCCAGCGATCAGAACATTCCAAATAATTACGTCGCGCCACCGCAAAACCTTTTCCACAAATCGTCCCTCTTTTGGAAAGTGCTGGGCCCCAGTGGTGCGGCGCGTACCAAGCCTGCAAACCATCACCACACAGCCGACGGCCCGAGACACGACACAGCCGGCGGCCCGAGACACCACACAGCCGGCGCCCAACACCACACAGCCGTCAGCCCGGGGCACCACACAGCCGGCGCCCAACACCACACAGCCGGCGGCCCGAGGCACCACACAGCCGGCGGCCCGAGGCACCATACAGCCTGCGGCCCGAGACACCACACAGCCAGCGGCCCGAGACACCATACAGCCGGCGGCCCTAGACACCATACAGCCGTCGGCCCGAGACAAGACACAGCCGTCGGCCCGAGACACCGCACGGCCGGCGGCCCGAGACACGACACAGCCGGCGGCCCGAGACCAGCCGTCGGTCCGAGACAACACGCGGCCGTCGGGCAGAGACGCTCGCGCCAGCTCGCTGCGCGGGAGGGGGCCGCTTACCAGCAGGCCACTATAGCGGCGTCTCGCGGCGCACGTGGAAGCCGTTCGAGCCGTCGGCGCCGAGCACCGCTGGCCGCGGCTTGGTGGGCGTGGCCACGCGGGAGCGCAGTCCCAGGCCGGCCTTCAGACCGGAGTTGGCCGCCGCCACGAGACCACGGCGAGGCCTGCTCTCGACCGATGCCGACTTAGTGCCCAGAATAATGCGCATGTGCTCGTTCTGGTTGAAGGTGAAGGGGACGGAGGCGGACTGGCGGCCGGGCGGCCGGACGGCGGCGGCGGCCGGCGCGGGCCGCGAGTCGCGCGGGTCGGCGTAGATGAGCGGCAGGTGGGCGTGCGGACTGGCCGGGGCCGAGCGGCGCTCGCCGGCCGGACTGTGCGCCGCCGGGTCGGCCTCGGCCGCGGCCGCACGCCGGCCGCGCCGCCGACACTGCTGCAGCTGCTGCGTGAAGGAAAGGCTGCCGCCGGCCTGCACAGCGCCCGACGGCGACGGCGACACGTCCAGCGCCGGCTGCGACGTCTGCGACGACTTGCCCGTGGAGCTGGTCAGGTTGCTGCTCGACTTGGAGTGCGAGTTGTTACACAGCGACACATACGACTGGTGCTTCTCGAAGGTGGAGGAGGGCGAGCCTGTCGGCGACGAGCCGCACAGTACAGCGCTGCTCGGCTTCGTCTCGGCCGTCGACGACGAGTTCATCGAGGTGCTGCTGTTGCTCGCGTGACAGGGCGGCAGCGGCGGCGGCGCCGCCGCGCCCGTGGCGCCGTACTCCTCCAACAGCCGCACTACCTGTTCGTGGCGGCCCTTAAGTGCTACCTTCAGAGCACTGCGGCCGTGCACGTCCGAGTGATTCGGGTCGGCGAAGTGGTCGAGCAGCACGCGCACGCACTCCAAGTGGCCCTCCTGGGAGGCAATGCAGAGCGCCGTGGCGCCCTGGCTGCACGTGTGGTCGACGGTGGCGCCGTGCGCCAGAAGCGCGCGCACCGCGGCCGGCCGACCTTGCCAGGCGGCGCCGATCAGCGGCGTGCGGCGCTCAGCGTCGACGGCGTCCGGGTCGGCGCCGCGCTGCAGCAGCAGGCGCACCATCTCCTGGTGGCCCTGCCAGGCGCTCACGTGCAGCGCCGTGCGCCCCTCCAGGTCGCGGCTCTCCACGTCAGCGCCGCTCTCCAGCAGGAAGGCGGCCATCGAGACGCGGTTGTCGAGCGCCAGCAGGTAAAGCGTGCTCCGGCCGTCCATGTCCCGATAGCTGGGGTCGGCACCGTTGCACACCAGGTAGTGCACCACGTCCTTGTGGCGCTCGAGCGCGGCCATGCGCAGCGCCGTCTTGCCGTCGTGCGAGCGCAGGTTGACGTCGGCGCCCCGCTCCACCAGCGCCGCCAAGGCCGACACATGGCCCTCCTGCGCCGCCAGAATCAGCGCGTGCTTGCCGTCGTTGTCCACGTCGTTGACCTTGGCCCCAGCGTCGAGCAGCGCGTCCAGCACGTCTGCCTGGCCCTCGTAGGCGGCGTAGTGGAGCGGGGTCCACCCGCAGTTGTCGCGGTGCGCCTCGTCCAGACCGCGGTCCAGCAGCAGTCGGACCGTCTCCAGGCAGCCCTGCGCAGCGGCCACGCTCAGCACTGTGCGCCCCTCCGGGTCGATGCTGTCGCAGTAGCAGCCCCAAAACAGCAGCACTCGCACCACCTGGTGGTGACCCATGGAGGCGGCGGCGAACAGCGCGCACCGCCCGGCCGCGTCCGTGTGGTCCACGTCTGCATCTGCCTCCAGCAGAAGCTCACACACGTCCCTGGAACGGGGCATAGGTCAGCAGTGTTGGAACTCCAGCGCTTTCCATGAAATTCAACTCTGATAAAATTCATCCTCTGAATTTCATTCCAGAAAAAGTGAGCCCAAGAGCCTATCCATGCACAAACCGCGCACACATGATCCACACTAAGCCAGGAGTATCAAACACACACACGCCGCATTCACTGAGATGGTCCTGTGGTGTAGATGGAGTTGCCTGTATGCCTTGAAGCACCACAGCCACATCTCGACATAGTACGCACACTAAAGCTCACATGTCGCAGCGCGGTTCAAATGGCGGCGGTCGAGCACCGGTGGGGCCTGACCTCAGCGCCGCGTCCCTACGTGCCTGCCGGCGTCCGAACCAACCTGTGCCCCTCGAAGGCTGCCACCAGCAGCGGCGTCATGCCCTCCTTGTCCTGGTGGTTGACGTCGGCGCCGCGCTCCAGCAGCAGCGCCACCACGCGGCCGGCGCCCTCGCAGGCGGGCACGCAGAGCGCTGCTACGCTGAGCGCCGTCCGGCCGTCGGCGTCGGCATGGTTGATGTCGGCGCCGCCGTCCAACAGCCGCTGCACGATCTCCACGTGGCCCATGTAAGCGGCGGCGATGAGGGCCGTGCGGCCCTCGCGGTCGTCGCCATTAACGGCGGCGCCGGCGGCCAGCAGGGCCGACACGATGTCGTCGTGTCCGGCCCAAGCGGCGGCGCGCAACGCCGTCCTCCGCTCGGCGTCCACGCTGTCGACGGCGGCACCGGCCGTCAGCAGCAGCTGCACGGTAGGTGTGTGGCCGGCCCATGCGGCGGAGCGCAGCGGCGTCCACCCGTCGGCGTCCGGACGGTCGGCGTCACAGCCCGCCTCCAGCAGGGTGCTCACCACGTCGGCGTGGCCATGCCGCGCGGCCACGGTGAGCGGCGACTGGCCGGCGTCGTCGACGCACTCGCAGGAGACGCGCCGCCGCCGCAGCAGCAGCGTCACCAGGCTGCTGTCGCCCTGCTGCGCGGCCGACAGCAGCAGCGCCTCCTCGGCCGCGCCGTCGGCCGGCTCGCCCTCCGTCAGGTACATCTGCAGCAGCTGGCCGTCGTCGTCCGGCTCCGGCTCCGGACTGGGCTCGGCCGCCAGCCCTGACACCAGCTCCAGTCCCGGCTCCGACACCGACTCCAACACCGACTCCAGCCCGCGCTCCGACCCTAACGCCGACTCTAGTCCGGGCTCCGAGGCCGAGTCGGCTTCGGAACCGTGTCCGGGCCCTGCCCTTGGCTCCGGCTCGACACTGGCCTGTCGGCTGTCGGAGGCGTGGCAGACGGGCGCCGGCTCGGCGCCGGCCTCCTCCAGCAGCTGCAGCGCCGCCGCGTCGTCCGGCTGGCCGTCCTGCAGGCACGTTTCCACCTCAGCGCCCGACCAGAGCAGCAGCAGAGGCAGCGGCGCCGGCCGCGGCGGCTCGGCCGACATGCGCACAAGGTGGACCGCCAGCTGCTGCACCTCGTCAGGCGCCAGCTGGCGGGCGCGCCGCAGCAGCCAGGCGGCCAGCATGCCGTGGCCCACGTCCCGCCGACAGAGGAACCGCTGCGTGCAGTACTTGACATCGGTGAGCCACTCGGCGTAGCTGTGGTGGAAGAGCAGCTTGGCGCCATCCGGCGTGATCACGGTGAGACGCGCCAGCACGGCCAGCCGGCGCTCGAAGTCGTCACGCGTCACGGCCGTGTGCTTCAGGCGCACGCACTCGAAGATGGTCTGCTCCGACACCGGCCGCAGGGCGGCCAGCAGCACGTTCAGCACCGGCAGCGCCTTGTGGAAGTGTTTCTTGGTGAAGAGCCGCTGGCTGAGCCATAAGTAGAGGCCGTTGAGCGTGCCCGGGATCTCGCGCACCTCGCGCAGCAGGATGAAGCCCTCGGCCACGCCGTTGAGCACCTTCTCCAGGTACAGAAGGCAACCGTTGCTCTTGATATGCAGCTGGTTGAGCATCTCGGCCGTTTCGTTGCTGAGGTGTTGTCGCAGCGCCGGCTCCCGCTCGAGCCGGCTCAGGATGTACTGCTGCAGGTCCGTCACCACATTCGCCTTCCGCAGATCGTCCAACACGATCTGAAAACGGAAACGCGGGAAGGTTAGCGTGGCAACAGTGCGTGCGATGGACGCGTATCAGCGCATACTCCCTCCAATGGCTTCCAAACGAGCCATCTCAAAATGCAGCTTAACCCTCGTCCACAGAGGACTGCCAGGCCTTTCGTCCGCGCCTCTGACACGACTGACCTACATGACTCCAGACTCCTGAACAGGACCAAGCCGGATATCGAGACTGAAGAGGCTGATCCCGGAAGGCGTTGCAGCGCAGGTGCTCAAAACCAGTTAGCGCATCACGACAGCGGAGAATCAGCAGAGAAATGTGCCCATCCCAAGAGAGAATGAGCTTTCGAAGAGGGTACCAAGATCTATGGTCGCAGATGCGGCGCCCCAGTTGTACTGCCCTAAGTATAGAGCGCTGGAGTGCCGAATCGCGCGGTTTTTATCCACCCCGCATTTGTGCTCTGTGCCAGCGCTAGCAGCGACGCCCACCTTCCTGAAGCCGGCGAAAAGGCGCGTAACCTCGCGGCTGTGGCGGCGTGCCGTGACCACAAGCAACAGCCAGCGCGGCAGCAGGTGCTGGTGGCTGGCCAGCAGCTCGGCCAGGCTGCGGCTGCCGGACCGGCCACCGCCGCCGCCCACCGCCTGGTGCGTATCGTCCACGGCGTCGACCAGCAGCAGCAGCGGCTGGGCCGGCTCGTCCAGCTCCAGCAGTGGGAAGAGCACGGCGCGCCGCAGTGCCTCGTCCGGCTGACGGTCGCAGAACACGGGCGTCAGCACCTCCTGCACGTCCGGGTCGCGCAGCTTCTCGGCGTAGCCGGGCAGCAGGGGCGAGCGCGAGAGCTGCTCCACGAGCCGGCCGATGAAGCCGGCCATGCGCAGCGAGGCGGCATCGTCGGCGCGGCAGAAGTGGTGACCCAGCAAGCGGGCGTGCAGCGAGAGCTGGCGGCCGGTGGCGGCAGTCGGCCGCACCAGCTCGCTACAGAGCGCCGACTTGCCGGAGCCGATGCCGCCCACCACCAGCGCTCCGCCCAGCTTGCTCTGCTTGTGCTGCAGACATTGCGCGATCTTGGTGAACGCCCACTGGCGGCAGAAAAAGGGCTTGCCCTCCAGCAGCGAGTGCGACATGGTCTGACCGCCCGGCTGGCTGGTGGGTGTGTGTCACTGGCAGCTGGCGGCGGGCCGAAAGGTGGCAGCGATGGAGCACCAGCCGGCCATCGCTCCGCCCAGACCAGCCGGCAATGTCTGCAACAACACGACGACACCCGATAAACATACGCGGCAGGGCAGCACCCGAGCAGGATACACACCGGGACAGCACCCGAGCAGGATACATAACAGGACAGCACACGAGCAGGATACATAACAGGGCAGCACCAGACCAGAAGGCACAACAGGGTGGCACCGGATCAGGAGAAACAACAGGACAGAGAAGCAGCTGGACAGTCAACCCAGTCAACACCCGCCAGTTCTGACGTCCTGCGGTTTGTAACATCTCCCTTGACTCAGCACAGTGCATCCCGTTTCGAGCCCGTCTCGACGCTATGCTCGGTGCCCTGCGCGAGGGTTCAACATGAGGCACCCGTGCTGGAGATTTCTCATTGCTGTGTATGCTTGCTGTCATAGAACAGCTGCTACTGTTTGACCACTGGCGAAACTTTGCACCTCATTGGGGGCCTTACTCTCACCCCGCGTGTCTCAAAATCGTAAATTCCGGATCAAAATCATTCAGGCCAGCCACAAAAAACCGCTAAGCAACAAGGAAACTTCATGTTTTGGGGAAGACCAGCCTTTGTCCAAAGACTAAATGTCTATGAAGCCCTCGGACAATTTGTATGAAGCTCCGCGTCACCTTCTTATTCGAAACGACCTATTTTAATTGGTGTGATATATATATATATATATATATATATATATATATATATATATATATATATATATATATATATTCCCTTCGTTGGTTGCTTCATTGACTACACAGGTACTACATATCGTCTAGCGCGGTCGCTCAACCACTATGGCCGGGTCGCCATCTTTCGCGCCGGCTGCGAAGGAAACCAAAACACAACAGGGCTAGTCGAACGCACACCCCGTGGTTGAACCTAACCTAACCTAACCTAAGGCGTGCCAGTCCCGGGCTGTGACCTCCAACAATGACTCGTATTAGCCTAAAACGCTCGCCATGAACTTCGCATGTGAAGTTAGGTCTACCACTGTCCCGTACAAAACGTACCCGCGTTCTCGGAACACAGGAACCAAACCGCCACCAGATCTACCCGTCCAGTCATCGATAGCTTAAACTTGAGAGGCCAGCGGACAGCAGCCGGAGCGCGGCGCGTTGCACAGTCTCTGATCCCATCGCTGGCAACCAGGACCGAGAAAGGCTCGGCGGCGGTGCGAACACGGGGGACGGGCCCGCCCGGTGCCAGCGGGGCGCCGATGTCTGGCTCGGCGCCGGCACGTCTCCGCACCGGAAACGACGTCAGAGGGCGCCTCCAGCCGGGCGGACCAAACCGCCGCCAACTAACCACGCCACACACACCAGGCAGCGTCGGTTCGTTACGCCGCCGAGGTTCAGCGTTCCTGGCAGGCCACCCGACAGCCGCAGCTGCTGCGGCCGTCTCTCAAACCGCCGGTCGCTCTCTGATGCACACTGCATGCTGACTGGCGGGGTCGCGTCACCGGGCCCCAACACTACCGAACGGCACAGCGGCCGTACGACCGGGCGCCGCGCCGTTCCCAGCGGCCGAGGTCGGCCAGGCCGGTACCGGTCCCGCCGGACCGGCACACGGCCGCCGACATTGGCCCACTGAGCCGGCGCTGAATCACCGGTCGGGGCGCGGCGGTGACCGGCGCCCGGCCACCGGAGTCCGGCCGACGCCCCGCCAACAATGTCAAGCAGCGCCTGTCCTCTGACAAGGATGTGGTGATGGCCTCTCCACCAGAATTCAGTTAACAGCTGCACTCTGAACCCAATGGCACTGGGCTGAAGCGCATGCCACATATCGCCACCCACCGCGTCCCACAGAGGGTGAAAAATAATGCTTGCATGCGCCGGTAGTTCCTGGTTAGATTTCGTAAACAACCACGCGGACCAAATTTGCGATTTTGGGGGAAATCCGGTCAGTTTTCGCGTGTTTTGTTTTGGAATTGGCTAAAACCATGTTCCGGGTGTTACAGTCCCCTGCCTAAACCACGTCGTAACTTGGTGTTGGCTTCACAGGGTTGTGCACAGACTACCGATACATTCGTGAACTCGTGGCTTGTGAACTTTGAAATCAACGACCGCCGCGCCAAGATCCACAGTCATCAGCCGCGCTAGCTCCCGGTCGTCGGATCGATGGAAGACGCTTGTTCTTAGCCGTTTTCCGCACTGATAAAGACCGTTTCTTCTCCTGTCTGCCCTGCTTCCAACGCTACAGAAAAAATGCACGCTTCAATCCGGTCGTAGCTAAAGCGAATTTGAATGAAGCCTCTGTCATGGCGCCGGACAAGGTGGACTGGGCGACGCCTGGCTCCGAATGATGCCCCTGGTGCGATCGCCGGCGGCCGTCAGGCTTCAACTCAAGTCTTTCCTGGTGCGTTTTGGGGACACTCAACTCGGGTTCTTAACTTGGATGCAACACGAAAACAATACCTAAATAAACCAATGGAACTTGGACACAACGCGAAAACAATACCTAAATAAACCAATGGCAAACATCATCTCTCGTTTGAATCGCGCAAGCATGTGCATTTGGACGGAGAGCAACAACATACTGATGCTTCAGCGCGGGAGGCCAGGCGCCCCAAACCAGCGCATTTCCGGATATATCGCTGAATTTTCATCAAGGCCTTTACTTACGTATTCAACTTCTAGATCGTGAAAACCATTTCTAGACAACCCCGCATGTTTGGCCAGGCCCACAGCGGAGAAAGAATATATCGCGCGTCAGTGCACGATGCTATGAAACTATGACCAAATTCCGACCCCATTCAGGCTGGAGACTGCAACGCAAAAAGCGATTTCGGTAAGAAAACCTGTAAGACCGAACGGTAGGCGGTTTCAAAAGCCTGAAACTTCGTGAGGGTGCTTGGTACATGAAATCTAACCGGGCACCACCGGGCGCATGTCAATGCTATCTTTCACCTTCTGTAGTTTAAGGTCAAATGTCAAAGCTGACGTGTGCGTACGTGCGTACGTACGTGCGTGCGTGAGTGTGCGTGCGCGCGTGTGCGCGTGCGTGCGTGCGTAACTGTGCAGTGCGTGCGGCATGCAAAAGTAGCTTCGGGACATATGTTCAGCGCAACCATGGCCACCCTGACTGCGCCGGCAGCCCTATTACCTTATGTTTACCTTATGTTTACCTTATGGACAACAAGTTGGCTTGGTTTTCCGTTGACAGGCGTGCCGGCACTCATTTGACCAGACCAGGCCAGGACCCTGACTCGCCGCAAAGCTATAAGTCCATAAATCAGAGGTAGTTTTGCAACATTAGAATGACATGATTCTTCATGTTGATCTGTCGGTCACATACTTAGCACCGACTTCTTTCATCTCTCGCACACTTTCGAGCTGTAATCGTGTGCGCCATAATAACCCCTACGAACCTGAAAAATACGCATCCCTGTGTGCTCTTCTGTCTTGTATGCCTACTATATCTCCTTGTGCTAGCAGGGAGCGTAGTGACCTTGCAACTTTCTATTCCCAATTTGGGTGTTAATGTGCGGCTCTGCGCGCAGCGGTGGACAGGAGCGGGCACTCCTCGTTACCGGTTTGTGGGTGATGGAAGGTAAAAACAAGCTCAACAACACATGAAAATGCGTCATATACAGCAGTCATTGATGGAAGAAGCTTGCTACAGGCCACCGCCGTGACTTGCTGTCCCGGCAGAGTGTTTTCTCTCGGTACCACGGCGACCCAAATGTTCAACTTGAGCTCAACGTTCGGAGTCTATCCAACATGCCCAGCCCCACAATGACCATTCTCACTATCCACCACCAAACCTGGTAATAGAAGGGCGCATTCCGGCTACCCAGGCTGGCAGCATCATTTAAATTGCACCACATATTTTTAAAGCCCTGCGCACTTAAGTCAGAATTAACCACGCCCGGAAAGTATCCCTGAACATGTATACAATGAACACTTGAAAGCTATATTGCCTAGTTTACCACCACGTTTCTGATGAAGTTTAAATTTACTACCAACGTGCCAAGAACATTACTTTTCATGGCTACCTCTTCAAATCCTAATCCCAATAAACCCTCTTTTCTCCAGCAGCCGGCGCGGTTAACATCCTGGACAAAGTTTCGAGGCCAGAGGCCAAGATCTACTGCCTGCCAGCTCCCGTAATGTGCTGCCTCGTGAAGGCGGCTGGCCGGGCGCGGTGGCTGCCCTCAGCTCGGAGTCTGCTGAGGGCCGGCCGGGGCGCGCCCTGAAGTCAGCTGGGCGACTCGGGTCAGCCCCGGACCGGCAGCCCTGACGTCAGGTGGGCGGCTCGGGTCAGCCCTGACGTCAGCTGGGCGACTCGGGTCAGCCCCGGACCGGCAGCCCTGACGTCAGGTGGGCGGCTCGGGTCAGCCCCGGACCGGCAGCCCTGATGTCAGGTGGGCGGCCCAGGTCAGCCTCGGACCGGCAGCCCTGACGTCAGGTGGGCGGCTCGGGTCAGCCTCGGACCGGCAGCCCTGATGTCAGGTGGGCGGCCCAGGTCAGCCCCGGACCGGCAGCCCTGACGTCAGGTGGGCGGCTCGGGTCAGCCGGCGGTTGGCCGGTTACCGAGGACATACCGCCTCCGGCCAGGCGACGGCCGTGTACTAATCGTCCGTTTCCGGCGAAGGCCAGTTCCCACGCTGGCGCGTTAGTGAGGAGGCCGTGGCGGGCGAGCAGAGACGTGGTCGGACTGGCGGGAGGGAAACGCAGGAACGCTGCGTACACGCCGCGAGCAGACGCACCACAGCACGCGATCTCGCGCATTGTAAAACTCATTACAGGTCTTACTTCGATCACTTATCGCATCGTTTTACAACTTTAAGCATTCCCAAAGATCGAAACGAATCAGTTCACAAACGATTAAAACACACTTCGCACAATTCGCCTTCGAGATTAAAGGCGCGCAGGCGCGCTATGGTCTTTGGTATTTCCACGTAACTAATTGGGTGGTGATAACGACCGCCGCCATGAAGCGTGGATGCCCTACATGCAGTTGTTCTTACGTGACATGCCGGAGCGACCATTGATCTGTTACTGGTGGACGCAACTACCCGGG